TTATATAGTCTTGAAGCTCTTTGAATTTCAAGAACAACTTATGGCTGGTACTTTTTGATAAAATTAACTCAATTAAGGAATAGTGTTAGGTAAGTTATTTTTAGTTTACGCTGAGAAATATTTAATTGAGCCAAAATAAATAAAATGAGCCAAAATTGACACATCTTTCAAACGAGAAAATGTCACTAAAACAAGACCCTAACGCTATGACCTATGCTAAAATAATGGAACAATACAAAAACTAGTATTTATATCCAATTATGTTATTGATAAAACTATCTCTAGAAAATATTTCAAACAAACCAATCATGATCCATAATTAACACTTACAAATAATTGCAACGCTGAAACTATTTATAGTTTCAGCAACAGAACAAAATAAATATAACTTAGAAGACATTTATTCTCCTTCGAGACAGTTCCTGATATCTAATTCGCAAATACCAATATACACTAGATCTATTAATACTAGGAGATTTAAGAGTAACTTTAAGGTTGGTATTAGACTAAGAAGTTGCACGAATCTATCCGGCCGAAAATAAGATCAGCGTGACGAATAGACGGTGTACCTCATCTGAAATTAATCTATGAGTGAACCACCCCGGACATAAACTCAGTAACTTTAAATTATTAAACTAAAAACTGGTCGGGAACAAAACGAGGATCTTTTAGCGAGGGTTTATGTGCCAAAATAGATGATCTATGAAGAAATATTTTGTCAGAAAAGCCATACAGTTGGAAAAGTCAATGAACGCAGAGTAATAAAAAAACTGGCGTGTTTTCTGCTACCTTTGCGATAAGCGAGGTATTACAACAGGGTACTAGACTTTTTCCGTAAATAACTTGAAAAATGGTCAATTTAGGAATGACTAAATTTCGTGAAAAATCAAATAAAAGTACCTCATCTCGAATTCGTAGTTTTTTGGATTCGTATTTCTTTCGGTTCATTTTCCGTCTATTTAAAAATATCATTTTTGTTACATTTTTTACCTAGTACTATTTTTTAACAACCAATTTGTTAAGGATGGATTTTATTTTGATTGGAATTTTTTAAACTATAATTGAAAGTTCTGTAGTGTGTCATTTTACCACTTCTGATTTTGAAAAACTTGGTTTTTTCAGTTTTTTTTACTACTAAATGGTTTAAGCTGATGTTGCATTGGCTTAACCACATTATATTTTTTTCCATATTGACGGCAAAAAATCCTGTTCGACAAAATCAGGTATTATGAAAAGGTAAGTGATTGTGTTTTTTAGTTTTACTTTTTTCGAAGTTGGACGAAATGAGACGCTTTTGAAATGAGACGCCTTCGAAATGCTTTTCGCATTTCAACAAACGATTTTTTGACCAGTTTTTGGATACTTTTGAGCTTGTTTCCAATAAGTATCCTGCCAATTCTTAGGCTAAGTTTTTAGGTGCAATCGAGAAACCCGGTTTTGGTAATATTTTATGTCTGAGCTTCTTCGACCTTCTCATTGCAGAAAAAAGAGAGCTTTCGGAACTATCTAATCAAATTTGAGATGAAGAGTTCAAACAAAAGAACCGGTTTTGAGAAATTTTCCGATAGAAGTCGGGACTCCCTATTTTTTGTTAGGAAAATTTTATGAAAATGGGAAGATTGCAATTCTCACTCTTCTCACTTATCTTAGTAGAAAAGCAACTTAAGTTTCGGGCAAAGTCGAATTTTTGAAATTACCCACTTCATCCAGCATAAATAAAACAAATTCCTAAAATAATAAACAGCCACCTCCCAGTTCTACTGGGCCTCTAAATTTCTCAAATTGAGGTTTTATTTCTTTAGTTTTTTTTTCAACATACTTTTTTTCGAATTATTGTTTTTTTAATTTTTGTGTTGCATCACAAAAGGTGCAAAACTCAGCTCGCCCTCTGTGAAAAGTTCAATTCGAATTTCGAACTAACAATTATATAGTCTTGAAGCTCTTTGAATTCAAGAACAATTTATGACTGGTACTTTTTGATAAAATTAACTCAATTAAGGTATATTGTTATGTAAGTCATTTTTTGTTTACGCTGAGAAAAATATAATTGAGCCAAAATAATTAAAATGAGCTAAAATTGACACATCTTTCAAACGAGAAAATGTCACTAAAACAAAACTCTAGCGCTATGACCTATGCTAGAATAATGGAACCATATAAAAACTAGTATTTATATCCAATTATGTTATTGATAAAACTATCTCTAGAAAATAATTCAAACAAACCAATCATGATCCATAATTAACAGTTACAATTAATTGTAACGCTGAAACTAATTATAGTTTCAGCAACAGAACAAAATAAATATAACTTAGAAGACAGCTATTCACCTTCGAGACAGTTCCTGATATCTAATTCGCAAATACCAATATACACTAGATCTATTAATACTAGGAGATATAAGAGTAAGTTTAAGGTTGGTAATAGACTAAGAAGTTGCACGAATCTATCCGGCCAAAAATAAGATCAGCGTAACAAACAGACGGTGTACCTCATCTGAAATTAGTCTATGAGTGAGCCACCCCGGACATAAACTCAGTAACTTTAAATTATTAAACTAAAAACTGGTCGGGAACAAAACGAGGATCTTTTAGCGAGGGTTTATGTGCCAAAATAGATGATCTATGAAGAAATAATTTGTCAGTAAAGCCATACAGTTGGAAAAGTCAATGAACGCAGAGTAATAAAAAAACTGGCGTGTTTTCTGCTTCCCTTGCGATAAGCGAGGTATTACAACAGGGTACTAGACTTTTTTCGTAATTAACTTGAAAAATGGTCAATTCAGGAATGGCTAAATTTCCTGAAAACTCAAATAAAGTACCTCATCTGGGTAGTTAGGTTAATAGGTGGAGTACATCTGAGGGGTAAATAATTTTTCAAATGAGGCTATTGAAAAATTGTTGATTTCGTAGTTTTTTGGATTCGTATTTTCTTTCGGTTCATTTTCCGTTTATTTAAAAATATCATTTTTGTTACCTTTTTTACCTAGTACTATTTTTTAACAACCCAATTTGTTAAGGATGGATTTTATTTTGATTGGAATTTTTTAAGCTATAATTGAAAGTTCTGTAGTGTGTCATTTTACCACTTCTGATTTTGAAAAACTTGGTTTTTTCAGTTTTTTTTTTACAATTAAATGGTTTAAGCTGATGCTGCATTGGATTAACCACATTATATTTTTCCATATTGACGGCAAAAAAATCCTGTTCGACAAAATCAGGTATTATGAAAAGGTAAGTGATTGTGTTTTTTAGTTTTACTTTTTTTCGAAGTTGGACGAAATGAGACGCTTTTGAAATGAGACGCCTTCGAAATGCTTTTCGCATTTCAACAAACGATTTTTTGACCAGTTTTTGGATACTTTTGAGCTTGTTTCCATTAAATTTCCTGCCAATTCTTAGGCTAAGTTTTTAGGTGCAATTGAGAAACCCGGTTTTGGTAATACTTTATGTCTGAGCTGCTTTTACCTTCTCATTGCAGAAAAAAAAGAGAGCTTTCGGAACTATCTAGTCAAATTTGAGATGAAGAGTTCAATCAAAAGAACCGGTTACGAGAAATTTTCCGATAGAAGTGGGGACTCCCTATTTTTTGTTAGGAAAATTTTATGAAAATGGGAAGAAGGCTATTCTCACTTATCTTAGTAGAAAAGCATCTTAAGTTTCGGGCAAAGTCGAATTTTTGAAATTACCCACTTCGTCCAGCATAAATAAAACAAATTCCAAAAATAATAAACAGCCACCTCCCAGTTCTACTGGGCCTCTAAATTTCTCGAATTGAGGTTTTATTTCTTTAGTTTTTTTTTCAACATACTTTTTTTCGACTTATTGTTTTTTTAATTTTTGTGTTGCATCACAATAGGTGCAAAACTCAGCTTGCCCTCTGTAAAAGTTCAATTCGAATTTCGAACTAACAATTATATAGTCTTGAAGCTCTTTGAATTTCAAGAACAATTTATGAATGTTACTTTTTGATAAAATTAACTCAATTAAGGTATAGTGTTATGTAAGTTATTTTTTGTTTACGCTGAGAAATATATAAGTGAGCCAAAATGAATAAAATGAGCTAAAATTGACACATCTTTCAAACAAGAAAATGTCACTAAAACAAGACTCTAGCGCTATGACCTATGCTAGAATACTGGAACCATATAAAAACTAGTATTTATATCCAATTATGTTATTGATAAAACTATCTCTAGAAAATATTTCAAACAAACCAATCATGATCCATAATTAACACTTACAATTAATGGTAACGCTGAAACTATCTATAGTTTCAGCAACAGAACAAAATAAATATAACTTGGAAGACAGTTATTCTCCTTCGAGACAGTTCCTGATATCTAATTCGCAAATACCAATATACATTAGATCTAATGATACTAGGAGATATACGAGTAAGATAAAGATTGGTTTTAGACTAAGAAGTTGCACGAATTTATCCGGCCGAATATAAGATCAGCGCGACGAACAGACGGTGTACCTCATCTGAAATTAATTTATGAGTGAACCACCCCGGACATAAACTCAGTAACTTTAAATTATTAAACTAAAAACTGGTCGGGAACAAAACGAGGATCTTTTAGCGAGGGTTTATGTGCCAAAATAGATGATCTATGAAGAAATAATTTGTCAGTAAAGCCATACAGTTGGAAAAGTCAATGAACGCAGAGTAATAAAAAAACTGGCGTGTTTTCTGCTACCCTTACGATAAGCGAGGTATTACAACAGGGTACTAGACTTTTTTTCGTAATTAACTTGAAAAATGGTCAATTCAGGAATGGCTAAATTTCCTGAAAACTCAAATAAAGTACCTCATCTGGGTAGTTAGGTTAATAGGTGGAGTACATCTGAGGGGTAAATAATTTTTCAAATGAGGCTATTGAAAAATTGTTGATTTCGTAGTTTTTTGGATTCGTATTTTCTTTCGGTTCATTTTCCGTTTATTTAAAAATATCATTTTTGTTACCTTTTTACCTAGTACTATTTTTTAACAACCCAATTTAATAAGGATGGATTTTATTTTGATTGGAATTTTTTAAGCTATAATTGAAAGTTCTGTAGTGTGTCATTTTACCAATTCTGATTTTGAAAAACTTGGTTTTTTCAGTTTTTTTTACAATTAAATGGTTTAAGCTGATGCTGCATTGGATTAACCACATTATATTTTTCCATATTGACGGCAAAAAAATCCTGTTCGACAAAATCAGGTATTATGAAAAGGTAAGGGATTGTGTTTTTTGGTTTTACATTTTTTCGAAGTTGGACGAAATGAGACGCTTTTGAAATGAGACGCCTTCGAAATGCTTTTCGCATTTCAACAAACGATTTTTTGACCAGTTTTTGGATACTTTTGAGCTTGTTTCCATTAAATTTCCTGCCAATTCTTAGGCTAAGTTTTTAGGTGCAATTGAGAAACCCGGTTTTGGTAATACTTTATGTCTGAGCTGCTTTTACCTTCTCATTGCAGAAAAAAAAAGAGAGCTTTCGGAACTATCTAGTCAAATTTGAGATGAAGAGTTCAATCAAAAGAACCGGTTACGAGAAATTTTCCGATAGAAGTGGGGACTCCCTATTTTTTGTTAGGAAAATTTTATGAAAATGGGAAGAAGGCTATTCTCACTTATCTTAGTAGAAAAGCATCTTAAGTTTCGGGCAAAGTCGAATTTTTGAAATTACCCACTTTGTCCAGCATAAATAAAACAAATTCCAAAAATAATAAACAGCCACCTCCCAGTTCTATTGGGCCTCTAAATTTCTCGAATTGAGGTTTTATTTCTTTAGTTTTTTTTTCAACATACTTTTTTTCGACTTATTGTTTTTTTAATTTTTGTGTTGCATCACAATAGGTGCAAAACTCAGCTTGCCCTCTGTAAAAGTTCAATTCGAATTTCGAACTAACAATTATATAGTCTTGAAGCTCTTTGAATTTCAAGAACAATTTATGAATGTTACTTTTTGATAAAATTAACTCAATTAAGGTATAGTGTTATGTAAGTTATTTTTTGTTTACGCTGAGAAATATATAAGTGAGCCAAAATGAATAAAATGAGCTAAAATTGACACATCTTTCAAACAAGAAAATGTCACTAAAACAAGACTCTAGCGCTATGACCTATGCTAGAATACTGGAACCATATAAAAACTAGTATTTATATCCAATTATGTTATTGATAAAACTATCTCTAGAAAATATTTCAAACAAACCAATCATGATCCATAATTAACACTTACAATTAATGGTAATGCTGAAACTATCTATAGTTTCAGCAACAGAACAAAATATAACTTGGAAGACAGTTATTCTCCTTCGAGACAGTTCCTGATATCTAATTCGCAAATACCAATATACATTAGATCTAATGATACTAGGAGATATACGAGTAAGATAAAGATTGGTTTTAGACTAAGAAGTTGCACGAATCTATCCGGCCGAATATAAGATCAGCGTGACCAACAGACGGTGTACCTCATCTGAAATTAATCTATGAGTGAGCCACCCCGGACATAAACTCAGTAACTTTAAATTATTAAACTAAAAACTGGTCGGGAACAAGACGAAGATATTTTCGCGAGGGTTTATGTGCCAAAATAGATGATCTATGAAGAAATATTTTGTCAGTAAAGCCATACAGTTAGAAAAGTCAACGAACGCAGAGTAATAAAAAAATTGGCGTGTTTTCTGCTACCCTTGCGATAAGCGAGGTATTACAACAGGGTACTAGACTTTTTTCCGTAAATAACTTGAAAAATGGTCAATTCAGGAATGGCTAAATTTCCTGAAAACTCAAATAAAGTACCTCATCTGGGTAGTTAGGTTAATAGGTGGAGTACATCTGAGGGGTAAATAATTTTTCAAATGAGGCTTTTGAAAAATTGTTGATTTCGTAGTTTTTTGGATTCGTATTTTCTTTCGGTTCATTTTCCGTTTATTTAAAAATATCATTTTTGTTACCTTTTTTACCTAGTACTATTTTTTAACAACCCAATTTGTTAAGGATGGATTTTATTTTGATTGGAATTTTTTAAACTATAATTGAAAGTTCTGTGTTGTGTCATTTTACCACTTCTGATTTTGAAAAACTTGGTTTTTTCAGTTTTTTTTTTTACTACTGAATGGTTTAAGCTGATGTTGCATTGGCTTAACCACACTATATTTTTCCATATTGACGGCAAAAAAATCCTGTTCGACAAAATCAGGTATTATGAAAAGGTAAGTGATTGTGTTTTTTAGTTTTACTTTTTTTCGAAGTTGGACGAAATGAGACGCTTTTGAAACGAGACGCCTTCGAAATGCTTTTCGCATTTCAACAAACGATTTTTTGACCAGTTTTTGGATACTTTTGAGCTTGTTTCCAATAAATATCCTGCCAATTTTTAGGCTAAGTTTTTAGGTGCAATCGAGAAACCCGGTTTTGGTAATATTTTATGTCTCAGCTGCTTCGACCTTCTCATTGCAGAAAAAAAAGAGAGCTTTCGGAACTATCTTATCAAATTTGAGATGAAGAGATCAATCAAAAGAACCGGTTACGAGAAATTTTCTGATAGAAGTGGGGACACCCTATTTTTTCTTAGGAAAACTTTATGAAAATGGGAAGATTGCAATTCTCACTGTTCTCACTTATCTTAGTAGAAAAACATCTTAAGTTTCGGGAAAAGTCGAATTTTTGAAATTACCAACTTCATCCAGCATAAATAAAACAAATTCCAAAAATAATAAACAGCCACCTCCCAGTTCTACTGGGCCTCTTAATTTCTCAAATTGAGGTTTTATTTCTTTAGTTTTTTTTTCAACATACGTTTTTTCGACTTATTGTTTTTTTAATTTTTGTGTTGCATCACAATAGGTGCAAAACTCAGCTTGCCCTCTGTGAAAAGTTCAATTCGAATTTCGAAATAACAATTATATAGTCTTGAAGCTCTTTGAATTTCAAGAACAATTTATGACTGGTACTTTTTGATAAAATTAACTCAATTAAGGTATAGTGTTATGTAAGTCATTTTTTGTTTACGCTGAGAAATATATAATTGAGCCAAAATGAATAAAATGAGCTAAAATTGACACATCTTTCAAACGAGAAAATGTCACTAAAACAAGACTCTAGCGCTATGACCTATGCTAGAATAATGGAACCATATAAAAAATAGTATTTATATCCAATTATGTTATTGATAAAACTATCTCTAGAAAATATTTCAAACAAACCAATCATTATCCATAATTAACACTTACAATTAATGGTAACGCTGAAACAATTTATAGTTTCAGCAACAGAACAAAATAAATATAACTTAGAAGACCGTTATTCTCCTTCGAGACAGTTCCTGATATCTAATTCGCAAATACCAATATACACTAGATCTATTGATACTAGGAGATATACGAGTAAGATAAAGATTGGTATTAGACTAAGAAGTTGCACGAATCTATCCGGCCGAATATAAGATCAGCGTGACGAACAGACGGTGTACCCCATCTGAAATTAATCTATGAGTGAGCCACCCCGGACATAAACTCAGAAAAATCAAATAAAGTACCTCATCTGGGTAGTTAGGTTAATAGGTGGAGTACATCTGAGGGGCAATTAATTTTTCAAATAAGGCTATTGAAAAATTGTTTGATTTCGTAGTTTTTTGGATTCGTATTTTCTTTCGGTTCATTTTTCGTTTATTTGAAAATATCATTTTTGTTACTTTTTCTACCTAGTACTATTTTTTAACAACCTAATTTGTTAAGCATGGATTTTATTTTGATTGAAATTTTTTAAACTATAATTGAAAGTTCTGAAGTGTGTCATTTTACCACTTCTGATTTTGAAAAACTTGGTTTTTTCAGTTTTTTTTTTACTACTAAATGGTTTAAGCTGATATTGCATTGGCTTAACCACATTATATTTTCCATATTGAGGGCAAAAAAATCCTGTTCGAGAACATCAGGTATTATGAAAAGGTAAGTGATTGTGTTTTTTAGTTTTACTTTTTTTCGAAGTTGGACGAAATGAGACGCTTTTGAAATGAGACGCCTTCGAAATGCTTTTCGCATTTCAACAAACAATTTTTTGACCAGTTTTTGGATAGTTCTGAGCTTGTTTCCAATAACTAACGTGCCAATTCTGAGGCTAAGTTTTTAGGTGCAATCGAGAAACCCGGTTTTGGTAATATTTAACGTCTGAGCTGCTTCGACCTTCTCATTGCAGAAAAAAGAGAGCTTTCGGAACTATCTAATCAAATTTGAGATGAAGGGTTCAATCAAAAGAACCGGGTACGAGAAATTTTTCGATAAAAGTGGGGACTCCCTATTTTTTGTTAGGAAAATTTTATGAAAATGGGAAGATTGCAATTTTCACTCTTCTCACTTATCTTAGTAGAAAAGCATCTTAAATTTCGGGCAAAGTCGAATTTTTGAAATTACCCACTTCATCCAGCATAAATAAAACAACTTCCAAAAATAATAAACAGCCACCCCCCAGTTCTACTGGGCCTCTAAATATCTCAAATTGAGGTTTTATTTCTTTAGTTTTTTTTTCAACATACTTTTCTTCGACTTATTGTTTTTTTTTAATTTTTGTGTTGCATCACAATAGGTGCAAAACTCAGCTTCCTCTCTGTGAAAAGTTCAATTCGAATTTCGAACTAACAATTATATAGTCTTGAAGCTCTTTGAATTTCAAGCACAATTTATGACTGGTACTTTTTGATAAAATTAACTCAATTAAGGTATAGTGTTATGTAAGTTATTTTTTGTTTACGCTGAGAAATATATAATTGAGCCAAAATAAATAAAATGAGCCAAAATTAACACATCTTTCAAACGAGAAAATGTCACTAAAACAAGACTCTAGCGCTATGACCTAGGCTAGAATAATGGAACCATATAAAAACTAGTATTTATATCCAATTATGTTACTGATAAAACTATCTCTAGAAAATATTTCAAACAAACCAATCATGATCCATAATTAACACTTACAATTAATGGTAACGCTGAAACTATTTATAGTTTCAGCAACAGAACAAAATAAATATAACTTAGAAGACAGTTATTCTCCTTCGAGACAGTTCCTGATATCTAATTCGCAAATACCAATATACACTAGATCTATTGATACTAGGAGATATACGAGTAAGATAAAGATTGGTATTAGACTAAGAAGTTGCACGAATCTATCCGGCCGAATATAAGATCAGCGCGACGAACAGACGGTGTACCTCATCTGAAATTAATTTATGAGTGAACCACCCCGGACATAAACTCAGTAACTGTAAATTATTAAACTAAAAACTGGTCGGGAACAAAACGAGGATATTTTCGCGAGGGTTTATGTGCCAAAATAGATGATCTATGAAGAAATATTTTGTCAGTAAAGCCATACAGTTGGAAAAGTCAATGAACGCAGAGTAATAAAAAAACTGGCGTGTTTTCTGCTACCCTTGCGATAAGCGAGGTATTACAACAGGGTACTAGACTATTTTCCGTAAATAACATGAAAAATGGTCAATTCAGGAATGGCTAAATTTCCTGAAAACTCAAATAAAGTACCTCATCTGGGTAGTTAGGTTAATAAGTGGAGTACATCTGAGGGGTAAATAATTTTCAAAAAAGGCTATTGAAAAATTGTTGATTTCGTAGTTTTTTGGATTCGTATTTTCTTTCGGTTCATTTTTCGTTTATTTGAAAATATCATTTTTGTTACTTTTTCTACCTAGTACTATTTTTTAACAACCTAATTTGTTAAGCATGGATTTTATTTTGATTGAAATTTTTTAAACTATAATTGAAAGTTCTGAAGTGTGTCATTTTACCACTTCTGATTTTGAAAAACTTGGTTTTTTCAGTTTTTTTTTTTACAATTAAATGGTTTAAGCTGATGCTGCATTGGATTAACCACATTATATTTTTCCATATTGACGGCAAAAAAATCCTGTTCGACAAAATCAGGTATTATGAAAAGGTAAGTGATTGTGTTTTTTAGTTTTACTTTTTTCGAAGTTGGACGAAATGAGACGCTTTTGAAATGAGACGCTTTCGAAATGCTTTTCGCATTTCAATAAACGATTTTTTGACCAGTTTTTGGATAATTTTGAGCTTGTTTCCAAAAATTATCCTGCCAATTCTTAGGCTAAGTTTTTAGATGCAATCGAGAAAACCGGTTTTGGTAATATTTTATGTCTGAGCTGCTTCGACCTTCTCATTGCAGAAAAAAAGAGAGCTTTCGGAACTATCTAATCAAATTTGAGATGAATGGTTCAATCAAAAGAACCGGTTTACGAGCAATTTTCCGATAGAAGTGGGGACTCCCTATTTTTTGTTAGGAAAATTTTCCGAAAATGGGAAGATTGCAATTCCCACTCTTCTCACTTATCTTAGTCGAAAAGCATCTCAAGTTTCGGGCAAAGTCGAATTTTTGAAATTACCCACTTCATCCAGCATAAAAAAAACAAATTCCAAAAATAATAAACAGCCACCTCCCAGTTCTACTGGGCCTCTAAATTTCTCAAATTGAGGTTTTATTTCTTTAGTTTTTTTTTCAACATACTTTTTTCGACTTATTGTTTTTTTAATTTTTGTGTTGCATAACAATAGGTGCGAAACTCAGCTTCTCCTCTGTGAAAAATTCAATTCGAATTTCGAACTAACAATTATATAGTCTTGAAGCTCTTTGAATTTCAAGAACAATTTATGACTGGTACTTTTTGATAAAATTAACTCAATTAAGGTAGTGTTAGGTAGGTTATTTTTTGTTTACGCTGAGAAATCGAAACATCAAATTCCACTTTCGAAACTAATATTTGATTACATTGAATTGAACTCAAAAAGAATACTTATACTCAAGGGCACACATAGATGCGTTAATCTGCATGGTTGCCCTTTCATTAGTTATTAGAGCTTTTAAATCTTTTCCTAGAAAAATGAAAAATAAAAAAATCATTTGCACCTTCATAGGAGTCTTATCTACGTTCATCGACTCTTATAAACTGAAAAGTTGTCAAAACAACCATATGCAAAAAAATTCTGAATTTTGACTCGTATGATGCGTCCAGAAAAACAATCGCTGACGTGAACGCCAAATATCTACCGAGTCGCACCTAAGCCGGCAATACACTAAAGACACCTATTGGGTAAAAAAATCAACACAAAGGCAAAACAGAGCTTTGCACCACTTGCTACACAACATAAAAATAGCAGTGCAAGCTAGCAGACAGGAGAAGAAAGCCACTAAATCAAAAAAAAATTCAAAAACATTTCCAAAAACCACAAATTAAAAAAATCTAAATGTTGTCTGGAATCATATTCTATTTGCGGAAAAAAAAACGACCAGTAATACAACCGACAGCAATTAATATAAAATGAAAAAACAATCAACAAGCGGTAACTAAGCCGAAGAAACAATTTCCCGTTGAAACAAAAATATAATTGTTGTCATGAAAAACTTCTATTGAAGAACTATAAATTCTATTCAAAGAATATTTACAATTTGTGCGATCCGGAATAAAGCATAAAACCCCAAATTATGTCACTAAACCGATTACATATAAGCCGAAATCATTTAAGCCAATCAAAGTTTTTCAGCCAAAAAAAAACAAAAACGGCAAAATATACGAAGTATTAAAATTTAAAATTGCAGGAGTAACTCAAAACACTGAAAGCAACTACTTCGAAAATTGCGTACAAAAAAAACCAATTCTACGGTGTGGCAACTAAGCCGACAAAACATAAGCAGACAAACTACAGGCCTACAGTTTTTGGTAAGGAATACTTCCACTTTGAAAAAAAAAGACTCGAACCCACGACCTTTGCCGTCCCAGGCTCAATCTTCACGTCCCGACTAATTGCCGGACTCGAATAAAAATTTGAATTCATTATGAACCAAGATACAAGCGATTCAAGAGGTTCTGTAAAACAACCTGCTAACTAGAAAAAATAGTCTATACTCCCGTTTGATAACGCTTACTAATCGCAAGCGTATGAATTAGTTGTCACAAAAAATTTGGAAATTAAGATTCAAAAATTTACACTTTTACACTTATCATTATTTAGAATAATAATTTATTTTTGCCCTTCAAACGGCACAAAATATATTGAAGCTGCCAAAAAAACAAACCGAATTTATTTAGGATATAAAGCCTTTAAGTAAAAAAACAAAAGCATAGAAAATAATCAAAGTCAGGGCTAGTATAATTATAACATACCCAACAGACAATGAGTCAATGAACGTAATTTAAAAAAATACAAAACTTTTTTAGTTTTTCAAAGATAAAAATTGATGCCCTTCAAGCTTTGAATTTCGAGATTAGTTTATTAATGGCTTTTTTGATATAACTAGCCTAATTTGAGAAAACTGGCTCAATACAAAAAATATTTAGTTCGCTTCTCTGAAAATTATACTCCCCTTTCGAAACTCAACTTAATCACATTGATGTTCACTAGTGTTTTTCTTCCTTTTTACAAAGTAATTGATATGATTTTAGAACAAAATCAAAAGTCAAACCACAAAAGCGTAAATTAGAGCCTGAACAAATCTTCAATCTTTTGCTGAAAAAAGATTTTCCCCCTAATTACAGGAGTAAATCAACAATTTTCGCAAGTATATGGAAACTACTTGCAGCTCAGAAGCCCGTGATGAGGCGACTCAGCCGACAAAACATTAGCAGACAAATGATAGGCCAATATTTTTCTTAAAAGGAATATTTGCTGCTTGAAAAAAAAACAAGGTCTAAAGGGATTGAAATCTTGGATATTTGCCATCCCAGGTGTAGCCGTTACCTTAAAGCCAAGTGTACCGGAGAAGCGAAGAAATTTGAATTTGTTCTAAAACAAGCTATCAAATGATACAAATTACTAACATTAAAAAGCCAATATTCCGAGTTAATCGCAAGCGTAGAAAAAAGACATACCAATATGAAAAATGCAGGTCTTTGAAACCAGCTTACACTGAGCAACTAAATGAAAAAATTATTAGTTGAACAATTTAAGGATTTAATGTATTGCACTAGTGTTTTTCTGTGAGAAAGCAGGTAGAAACTCCGCTTTAGGAACTAGTTTCGAATAAATGAATTCAAGGATGAAAATAATTTCAGTCTTACTCGCCTAAGTTGACTAAATATTGTATGCTATCGACAAATGCCATGCTTTCGAAAGCAAAAATTTTAAGCTGTTTCTTCTCGATCGATTTGCAAAAACGTTTTGGAAATTCTTCCAAAGTAGCTTGAATTGTGAATGATAGAACTTATGATACATTATTCGAGTCCATCTAAGGCTCGCTAGTTTCGTATCGGAACTTCTAGTAGCACAGAACAAAAGTGGCCGGCATCTCAAAATTGAAGTGCATCCCAAGTCAACCAGCAGGTTCGTGTCAAGCAAACACATTCAACCGTCGTTTACAAATACATATACATAGATAGTAAAAACGGACAACCCGTAGAAAGAGGAGCTTTTTTCGCCTATGTCCGCTCTTTAGCGTACGTTTGACTTGATACAAGAAGAAGTTCGTAAATCTATTCGGAAAATACTCTTTTGGTTACAAAGTAGATAAAAGGAGAATTCTTACCAAGCACATTTCAAATATAACTCAATGATTCAAATCAGATTCTGTCGTCTTTCTATAAGAGCCAGAACTTAGATCGTGGTACAATTTTTTGAGATAGCACATCAAAGCGTCCAGGCGTTTTTTTGTACCACCATCAGTTTTCTTTATTTATTTACTGCATTACACACAAGAATTAAATAACTTGCATTATTTTTGGACAAAAATGATAAGTGCCAATGTATAATTTTACGTAAACCACCTACGGTTGAATAACAACCTTTTCGGTCAGATTTTTCAAATTTCTATTTTAATTCATTTAACCGCATTCAGCATTTGTTTGATCCATGTCGCCGAGCGTTCATAAATATCAGTCATGTGTCCAAAACCAAAGCAATTATTGGTAATAATAAAATCATTTTCAGATTAGCTCATCACAATAGAAAATGGTGTGCAACTAAAAGTGAACACAGATGCAAGAAGGAAAGAGTTCTTCAGTCTTTCTCATTAGATCTAGTGGATAGATAGTTTTCATCAATCATTTGATCTGATCTGCTATGTCCGTGCATTTATTACGTGGTTGATGCTACAAAAACACCAAATTCTAATTTCATCTAATTTTAGGAGTTCATTTCGAAAATAATATGTCATGGTTCCAGTTACAATTTGCAGGTCCACGGGTTCCATAAAAAGAAATTTTCACGTTTAGATTAAATAGTCGCCTCAAAGTGGCGGTGATCAGTCATGTCATCTTCTTCGCGTGCAGCAGCCACACCAAATAATCGGAAGATGTTGTGTTTGCCAGTAATCAGTTTGCAAGAACTCAGCAGAGCACAATCATACACCCACAAAAGGTCGAATTCTTTCTCGTATGTCTCGAGCAGTCAAGGTCGCTGTCTTCTCCGTTTTTTCAGACAACACTTCGGGGAACATCATTAAAATATTAAAGAGGGGATAGCCTGAGTGCCTCAGGAGTCTTATCACCACAATTACAGATCTGTTGACACTGTTCAACATTGGATCCCAGAACTCAGTGCTGTTCAGCACTTCATCAGAGTGCTGTGCTTGGTAGGTTTGGAACATACCACTGACCACCATGCAGAACTTCTGTTTTTGAGTATTGATTCCCGGGTGCAATTGACTGGCCAGCAGGCAAAGTGAGACCGGAAACAATTCCGCGACCAGCGCGATTGTCTGTGCGGCCGCCTGTAGGTTGATCTTAGCCTGTAGCAACATGCCTATTTCATTTCTCGAAATATCAACATCCGCTTCTTCACTTTCTTCCGTATTTGTAGCATTTTCTCCCGGTACCAAATGCAGTGCAACTTTTTTCTTGCTTTCCTCCGTGGCCCGTTGTTCGGGTGTCGGATTTCCATCTTTGGAATTTGTCTTATCTTCCAGTTCCTCGTTCCCATTTCCACTATTCGCTTCTCCCTGGGAAGATGCATCAGCCGAAGTTCCCGCAGTCGGACTACCTACCTTGTCTGTTATAGCCTCCACTTCCGGTTGATATATGTAGTCATTTTTCAGCGCAATTTCGTTGCCATTCCTCGCAATGGCTCCGGAACCACCATTGCCTACATTGTTATTCCGACCGGTTGACATGTTTTCCATTTGCACATTCAATGCTGCAATAGATACATTTTGTTGGGCAGCTACCAACTGCTGTTGCTGTTGAAACTGGCCCGGCATGTAAATCATCTGCTGTTGCTGCACTGATTGCATGACTTGGTTATTACTTGAGTGGGCCATGGCAGCGTAGGATGTCGAGAGATTCGACATATCAGTGCTATTGTCAAAAGAGTCCATTGTTGCAATTGATCCATACATACTCGCAGTGTCACTAACATTTGCGTTGCGGCTGTCGTCGAGGGGACTTTCATAAACTGGGGCTAGCACAAAGCTGGTGTGTCCGCTCAGCAGAGACAAATTATCACCATGCTGGGATCCCGAGCCACGATTGGACGAGGAGCCAGTTGAAAGCAGGGACATCATACTGCCACTGTTTCGGCCAGACGAGGCCAGAGAACTACAGTCGCTGAAGTCCGATCTGTGTTCTTGTGGGTAGAGACTACCCGAGTTATGAAGAGACTTGTTCATTGGCAGACCCACATTTCCCAGTCCCACTCTTTGACCATTTCCGAAATGCGACAAAGACCCACCAGCAGCATTCTGGCCCTGCATGTACGCCTCGTGCAATGTAATAGCTGGTGGCGGTCCATACATTGTCGATGTATCCCTGGAACCTGCTCCAGATGGCCGGAATCTCTGAGACACACTATCGCTGTCATCTAAACTGTAGCCTCCGTAGGATCCACTGGAACTGGTCGAAGCATTCGAAGCACCAGAAGGGTGTCTCTTACTGCGCATGCGTCTATTCTCTTTAACCGTCCTGTGCAAGTATTTGCATTTTTTGCCGTAGTTACACAGCTCTCCGAACTTGCAGTACATAGCCGCAGTTCCACAGCAAACCTCCTTAGGGTCGAACTTTCTCAGCACTCTAGGAAGCCTGTCGCCCTCTCTTCCTTGCGGATCCAGTGCAAGAAGGAACCTACAGTAAAGTAATTCAGTGAACATTTTCATATCGACCGCTTTTTGAAAAATATTAAGGAAAGTTCAACAACTTTTTCAGGATATGCAAGCAACTCAATGGCAAAAAACTTTCATTTTTTCTTCTGAAACTATTAGAGTAAACTATATCTCAAGCTCAAGTAATTTCACAAACACTAACATGTTTTGCTTCATTTGTTCACAATAAAAGCGGAACCAAATTTTCAAGATAGCGCTAAGCTGCACTTCACAAACACAAGCAAAAACAACGACAAGAACTCTAAAAACCAGAATTATGCCTCCAAAATAATATTTAGTATTGGATTTTTTCAAGGCATAATTCTGTTTTCTTGGGTTTTTCAAGAGCTCTGGTAGTTTTTTTGCTTGGATTTACCAAAAATAGCTTCTCTTATTTCCAAATTTCAAACCAATTTAATCACCATTGCAAATAGAATTGAGGCAAGTTAATTGGGCCCAATTATCTCCATTCTAGAATTATTAATAATTATAATTTGTACTGAACTCAATTTTTTTCTTCCGACTTTCGAAGTGCGGAATATTTATGCTTGGTGTGTTTTTTTTTATTCGACTTTCGACTTTTCAAGTAAGCCTTTTTGACGGATCATTTTTTCATCATCTGAAAGATTTTGTTGTGCTGAACTCAAATTTAAAAAGATATTTCACCTGTGATGATTTTTCGACAGAGGCGAATATGACCCATAACGCTACTAGGAAAAACTGAATGAGTAAAACTTTGAGTCTACAAAATTTTTTAAGTTATGCAAGCCTATTATGAGTCTACATAATTGCTAAGTGACGCAAGCCATTTATGACGCATTAGCAGTACCAGCCATTTTGAAAAAAAAAATTACCAACTAACATACCTGAATTTATAGGGCGGACGCATTTTAGCTAGTACACGAAAAATTTCATAAAAAACATCCGACGCTGCCCAAGTTCGAACCCTCTTATTTTGTTGCGGGTCTCCTTCCCTACCTTTACGCTACAAATACATGATACTTCGAAGTTAAAAAGCTATTTGTAATATAATAGTCTGTGTTAATATCCTTAGCATTGGCTGTACTTAATAGCTGGTTGTTGAACAAAATGAACACTTTCAAAATTAACACAATTTGTCGCAACAATAATTGCGTCGCAACACACAAGCTTTGCTTGTGTAATAAGTTATAGCTGTTTAAAAATTGCTTACTTGACAAATTTTGGATAATTAACGCGATATATATTGCGTTCTTATAATACGCGTAAGTGGAGGGTTAATGCGCCCCAAATTGAAATGAGGCAAGCCATTTGCCCGTATTATTTAGATACAAGACGCTATAAACAACCTCTTGTAGTTTACAAAGGCGTGAGGGGGGATAAGAATAGCCTTTTTTCTTCTTTCCCGCAAATTTCATCAATTTCAACCAAAAAACCTTCAAATTTACCTTAGTTCAGTTCTTTTCGTCTAACATAGAGATAGTTGAGTCTAATTTGGATTGGTTACTACAGCGGTTTGAAGTTTGGATCATATTCGGACGCTTGTTCAAGTCCAACTGAAACTTGGTGCCAAATAAATAAAACAAGGTAAACTGATTGCTGCCCAAGTAGCATGGCAAGTTCCGACCAAAATAAAGAAAAGCAATTTTTTTTCAATTTCTGTCGTTTCTTAATTCGTGATATAAATATAATATATGAAATAAAGAATTTCCGCATATTCGACAATTATAGCAAAGTATCTATGCTCGACATATTTCCTCAAAAAAAAACAATTTTTTTGAAGGTGCTAACAGAAATTTTTAATAACTGAATTTTTACGACTTAACTTTACGAGTTAATTTTAACGACTTAAATTTTTACGACTTAATTAATTTAAAACTACATGATCTGAATCATCAAATTGTCAAAATCAGAGAGTCAAATAGGGTTATGAGCATTCAAGTCACTGAGTATTATAGAGTCCTCAAAGTTGAGTAATTAATTTATGGAAGCGGTGTAAACAGAGTCGAAGCTTGAGTGTGATGTGCTGATTTATTTAAAAAATTTAAGTGCCTTTTTCCTGACTTTATTTTTATTTCAGAGTTTTTGTTCATACCATTTGAAAATTGTGGAGGGACTTTGTATTCGGGTGTGTTTTAGTTTTTCTCTTTATGTTTTCCACGCAAAATCAGGTACCACAAACAATCATCGGAATGGGTCGACTGATCTATCATATTGAAGCCCTTTCAGCCCGTTATTCAAACGACATTCAAAATCATTGAAAAAAACTTGTGTCGAGATAACGAGACTAATTTGAGAAAAAAAAGCTATTTTTTTGTATTTTTAAGACTAAGGTCGGAACATTCATGAGCTACTTGCACAGTGAACGGCTATACTTGTCTAAATTCATTGCAATACTGCAGTGTAGAGGCACTAGTAATTCGAAAAATCTTTAGAAAGCCTGGAGAGCCTTCGATAGATCCACTATTGTTATTATCAATAGATAAACCATTATTGTTATTATCAATATTGTTTAACCTCAGCCAATCAGATTGATGCGCATTCGTTTCAGCTGAAGACCCTGGAAAAATTCATTTCGGGCTGGATAACTTCAACCACATTTCTCCTCTTGTTTACGAACACTTAAAAAAGTCTACCGCAGCGTAAAGTTCAGAATTGCTTCACAGCATTTTAGCATTCATTCTCCATACATAGCATTACAGAGCAGTAAAACAAGCTCAATTTGATTTTTTGTTCGAAACCTTTAAATAAGAGAAGACTCGACGAGCTACGTCAACCGGCTTGGCGCTGTCAGCAGTCCAGCCGTTCAAAATTATGTTCACTTCATGAGGTCGTCTAACGTTAGCAGAAAATAACAATCCAGATCCGGATACTCATTACACAGCTATCAAGCGTTATGTTTTTTGTTTTAATGTTATGATTTTATTTTGTGGCTATTAAGTAAAGCAATCTTGGTCACAAACATGGCTAAATGCTTGTCATGGTTACAAGAAACAGATTTTCTAATCATTAGATTTTATGTCCCATATATGGCTTAATAAGTATAAAACATGCTGAGCCATCATTTTGCGTTGAAGCGAATACATCAAATTGTGAGAACCATAATTGATAGTAAACAATTTTACACCAACACGCTTGACGCAGAGAAGTGGTTCATAAAGCTAGCCAAGAAATCATTTATGAACTGATCTAACCACCGAATATTAATCCAAAACATGTCCGCATAATACTGAAACCGTAACACCATGTATTGTTCACTCAGGTTCACATTACGGAATCCGGACGTTATAGCGTGAACGCTTCTTGGAATTAAACTTTACCAAGCAAATAAACATCATTATACATTTTGCATATTTCATTTTCAATAACATTCATATGTATCGCAAACTGCGCTTCCATGTAAACGGAAAAGCATTTTTTTGGTATATATTTAGTCATTGGGGAAAAGCTAGGGAAGCTAGCAGGCATGAAATATGCATTCCGTGGCTAAGCAACAAGCCGAAATAGGGACAATGCGAAACACAACTAGCAGATTCTGTTTTACAAATATATAGAAACAATCGAATTCTGTTAAATGGACTAGTTCTATGATTTCGAACATGAGATAACCCCAGCCAATCAACAAAACCTAATTTGCATGGTTAAATTGGAATAGTTCAATATCGAGGTACTAGATGTTATTTTAACCGGTTTAAAATCTGCTTAATGAAGTTATGCTTATTGCTATACCAATAATATCGAGTTAAGTTTTTCCAGGAATTTTCAACGGAAATGTTGATAATGATTTCCTATTTTCGCCTGCCTACATTTTTAACTCAGAGGGTAAAGAGTTAGATGGGCATGGAGGGGCAGTGCAACAACGCCGAAGTAAAAAAAAAATGCCGAAAAAGAAAATGTTCAACCGTGCCGAAAGTAAATTAATTCAAATCGACGGAAGTTGAAAAAGTCAAAAATGGCCATTTTAATTGATGTCACCTGTTAAACAAACGAAAATTCCCCGAGAACGGCGTTATAATTTTTTCTGAACAAACAGAAATTGTCTCAGCAAATTGACAAATTTCCTTCTCACATTCACTCCAAAACAAAACAGTATTTAAACGAATTGCCAACATTTGCAAATAGAACTCAAAATCGTACAATATCCTCAATTTTCGGCACTGTACAACAAATTTTCATTTTCGGCGCTGTTGAGCTTCGGCACTGTTGAACGCCCCGGCATGGAACATCGATCATTTGCACTTACTTGTGTTTCTGAATTTATTTAAAGAACACTTTGGGGAAGGTAGTTCAATTATTTCACGAACTTCCCAACATATTTCTCCATTCGGCAGAGGAAATTGACACATAATTATTTCAAATACAATTTAATGAAAACTCTTGACATTATCAGATCGGCGCCGCTACAGCCCCCCAAAAAATGCCTCAACGGGAACAGCAGATCCTTAATAACAAGAACACACTAGGGAAAGCGTTAATAAACTAAAGGAACTCGAAAAAAAATAAACTAAAGGAACTAGTTTTAGATTTTCCGACACTTTCTTTCGGAAAAAATAAGAATTTTACTGTCGCGTTTTTCGCTTATAATAACTCTAGAAACTCAAGAAAAAACTATCATTACGTAGCTTATTTCGCTTAAGCTTTTTCTTTCTGGCTAATTCTTACTAGAAAAATGTTTGGTCACAATGTCTGATAGTTGCAAAAAAAATTGCATGTAGCCATTAATATTTAGTCTTCATACTTAACCTCGTAAAACCAAGTGATACTGTGAGTTGATACAGGTATAGGAGTCCAAGCCATTTTTCAATACCGCGTAATCTTAAAAACAGCTTAACTTTTAAAAAATCGAGCTCTGCTTTCCCGCCATTTTTATTAAAGAGCGGAAACTTCGATTTATTTTCCAGCTGACTTAGCCAATGAAATTGAAGTGAGCTTGAAACAAATAAAAATTCTAACCGCTGTCAAAATTTCAACAGCGTTTCGACTTATAATTAAATAATTTGCAGAAAAACCTGACAAAGAAAACAAAAAAAAACAATTCATTCATTACCAGTAAATTAAAATCTATAATCTATCTTATCAAAAAAATGACACTCCATAAAACTAACCAAACGCATGCATACAAACCTAGCCAACAGACGATTGGAAAAAAGTCAATGAAAGCAAGGAAACACGTCAACTTTTGAATTTCAAAGCGAAAAATATATGCCTTTAAAATTCTTTGATTTTCAAGAATTAATTAAGATTGACACTTTTTTGCTTAAGTTAACTCAAATTGAGAAAACTGGATCAATAGGTAGGAAATACGAAAATTAAAATCATTTTCGACATAAGAAGTCGATCACATAAATCAAATATGAGCCTGAATAAATTTGAAGATTTTTTCCTGAACGAAGTCTTCACTACGTTTATCGAATCTTTAAAACAATAGCAAATAAAACAAGGATAGCCGCTTACTTTGCAAGTAGCACAAAATGTTTCAATATTAGTCTTACAAAAAAGTTTTATTTTCAAAATAGTTAAGTTTTTTTTGCGTAATTTGAAAAAAGGATCTGAACGAAAAACTTAACTTCAGGCATACTTGACGGCCATAGTAACATAAGCAAATTGGACGACAATTTTTGTTGAAAAATTACTAGGAAAGAAGCAACAAAAAACATTTTGCAGTTTTTTGAACTCAAAAAGACGCTAAAAACTCAAAAAACAAACTTTACTCGAATTACATTAAATCTTCACGGCTCAAAAAAGGTGTGAAGAAAAAAACTATTATAACCCAGCTTGCTCGCTTAATATGCTCGAATTAAGACCACAAATATAAAATTTCAAACCTGTTTTTCTCGATACTGGGACAACTTTTTGAAATTCTTATAATGTCGTTTGAATCACGACTGAAAGGGGTTTGAATGATATTTCACTCGACTCATTCAGATTATCATTTGTAATAACTGGTTTTGCGAGAAAAACAAAAAAGTAAAACACCCGAATACAAATTTCTTCCCATTTTTCAAATGGTCGGAACAAAAATCAAGCAAACAAAATGCACCGATAAAGTAACTCAATTTATTCCAGTAAGACAGCCAAATCTAAAACAGCCAACAGAGAGTTAAAAATTTTATTGAACTCAAAGAAATTTGAGCATTTATGTTCCGACCATTGAAAATAGCGAGGAACTTTGTGTTCTGGTGTGTTTGGGCTTTATTTGTTTTTTTAATTTTCCACACTAAATCAGGTACCACAAATAATCATCGGAATGGGTCGAATAATAGATCAAATTGAAACGCTTTTAGTCGTGACTCGAAAGGCATTAAATTATTTTCAAAAAAGTGTCAATGTCGAGAAAAACTAGTTCATATTTTGAGTTTCAGTTAAATTTCGTGCGAGTAAAGCAATCGAAAAACGTTCATTAAATAATTTTTTTTCTTTTAGGCTGAAAAAACTTATGTTACTATAAAATTGGTTTTTGAAGTTTAATTTACCGCTTTTTTGCAATAATTATTTTGTAAAAAAAAACAGAAACTATTTTTCAAAAATTAGAAAAACGTTTACAATTTTTCTTATAAAAGGTTTTCATTGTTTTGTCATTCATTTTTTCAAGTACAATTTATTATATTAAGCATACTTCATTAATTTTCTGCGCGTTGGTATACTTTTCTGATCACATCACACTCTGAACACGACACTAACTTAAAAAATAAAAACGTCTTTTAAGATTTTTTTTATGAATGCGGTCGGAATATTGTGCTATTTGCACAACCGGCTATACTGGTTCCGTTTTTTTTCTCAAATCCATTTGTGATTCTGTTGCATTTGTTTGTTTTTGAGTACCAATAGAGCTGTGCTGAAGTAACTAATGGCAAAGCCTTTTAATCCTAAGGCTGTTTGTTGGTTCACGGCTCACAGGCATCTGTTCTTGTTCCAACCTTTTAAAAAATGGAGAGGAACTTTGTATTGGTTGATTTTTTATTTAAATTTTCGACACAAAATCAGGTACTTAAATAATCATCGGATTAGGTCGAAGGATAAATCATATTAAAAACCTTTCAGTCGTGATTCTTCAGTTTCGAGAAAAACCCGTTTGCAATTTCTAGTTTGCCTAGTTTACACAGTTACCAGCTATACTTGTTCAGCTTTCGAAAATAGTTTAAAAATATCACGTAAAACATTCTTGAACTAAAGAATCTTTCATGATTGACATTTTCTCCGAAGAACTAACACAATTAGAGAAAACTGGATCAATAGGTAATAGACTGAAAAAAAATTCATATTTTTTAAAGCACTTTGTCCATTTCTTACTGCAAAGCGTCAGGTGCCTTTCCCTTAGCAAATACATTTAAATAAAACTTCAATAAAAACAAAAGTCAACGAAAGAAAAACTAAAATTAAGCGTGAACAAACATATATTATAATTTACTTCATTCATTGACATTCAAAAACAAAAAGTCCATTGACATTGTGGGACTGACGGGCAAAATTCATTTAACGCCATATTCACGAAGAGCTTTTAACGAGAGTTTTCCATCAACTAAAAAGAATTTGAAAAGCAGCTTCATAACTCAAACCACCAAAAAAGAACATAGCCAACAGACAATGGACGAAAGAGCCAATGGACGCAAGTTAAAAGAAAAAATGCTGATTGTGTTTTGAAAACATATCAACTTTCGAATTTCAAGGAAAAATGCCCTTGAAAGCTCTTTTAACTTCTAGAAAATTTTATGACAATCACTTTTTTTGATAATTAACCTAATTTGAGAAACTGGATCAATGGGTAAGTTTTTTATTTCGCTGGGAAATCTGAAAACTAAATTCCACTTCGAAACAAGAGGTCGATCAAAATTTTCGTGGCCTTTATATTTTTTGATGTTCGATAGTAGTGTGCCTTCCTTTCAATAAAAGAAATGAACTGAATTTAAAAAAAATCAGAAGTCAAACCGCGAAAAATTAAATTTGAGCCCGATTAAATTTTAAGACTTTTCCCGAAAAAAATCATGGCGACCTACATAAGAGTCTGAACTACGTAAGAAATAAGTGTGAGACAAATTAATTTTCCGGAAAAAACAAGACCTAATTAAGTGAACTCATTACATGCACTCAATAAAAAAACACAGTAAATCTAGATCTTTAATACAATCGGGATTTTGAATTACATATCAGTCTACACATTCAGGCCACAGTACTTAGATTTTACGTGCTAAAATTTCTGAAACATTTTCTTACGGAAAAGTCTTGAAGCCGATTGCAATAGCAATACGCAAGTCACAATCTAACCCCGACTTAATCATTGCGTTAAAAAAATTAATTGTATTGAATATCAGGGAAGATGTAGGGTGACTTAAGGTGGTTCTTCCCAAAAAAGCATGGCATTCAAATAAAACACTTCTGCACGCCTAACTTATACCACACCGTTGACAACAGCAGTACACTTACACGTCTTTGACGAAGATGAAGGTGCAGACGAAGTCTCTAGTCAACTCCCTCCATGCAGGGTTCTCTCTGGCCAAGTCAGAGAACTTGTCATTAGACACTATCACTGCACCCACCTTCTGCGCCAGCTAAAACAAAGTAGAATTCTTTTGATGAGGTTGAGTTGTTAGCTAGTCATGCATGGGACGCAATGTTCAACTCAGGGTTGGCATGTTATTTAACATTGTTATTTAACATTGAATTTAACTTACAGTGTTATTTACAATTTCTAACAGTGATGTTAGCTATTTCTTAGAAATATGAGTAATTCTTAGAAAAACACAACGCCATGCTTGTTCCGAAACGATTGTAGCGAATCTCGAACGGATGAAAAAAAATTTCAAACCAATTGCAGTTTCACTTGACAAACTACAGAGCGAAAAATCTCACCTGACGTATGGGAAGCTTCGTGCTCAACTCGGCGTTGAGAAAGCCGGAAAGTTGGCGTTTCTGTTCAACAAACTCAACTCTTGTGGATATGTTAATTTAATTAACAATTTAACAAAAACAACATGTTTTTTTCGATAAATAACAGTTAGTTTGTTATTTTTGTTTTTAACTTACATTTTGCCAACCCTGGTTCAACTGTTATTTTTCAACCGATGAAATGAACGAACATTTTTCTTCACGTTTTTATCGTTATCTCTAACTATTTGAGATTGATGGCTGAAAAACTGACATATGATTTAATTTAAAAGGACTTAACCGAGACACAAAAAGAAAAATATTGTTTTCAAGTCGTTATTTGGCTATTCAAACGAAACTTGTCAAAATGGTGTTTTGGTTCCGAAGAACCCCTTTAATGAATAACCAAATAACGTGTGAACACAATATTTTTCAATTTTTAACTCGGTTAAATCCTTTTAAATACACTCAGCCATCATATATCAATGTTTCAACCAAGTATCTCAAGTAGTTACAGAGAAAACGAAAAAAGCGTGAAAAAAGGTTTGTTCATTTCATTGGTTGAAAAGCACAAGTTGCAACTTCTGTCCCATGAACGGTACAATATAAATTCATTACACAAGCAAGCATCATTTGCGTTCTTAGTATTTTCAATGCAAACAAAAACATGCTGATTTTGATAACATCTTCACGTAACTTATAAACAAAATGTATATTTTTTACCTTTCTGGCCTATTACTTGCCGGGACTAGGCAAGTAATAGGTTACAAAATAAAAGGCCAAAAAATCGAAGACAATGGTAAATCAAATCTATGATTTACTTTAGAGCCCACTATGAAGAGACCGATTGGGAAAATCACGTGGATTGATTGCTGCAAGATTGATTAACACATGCGGGCGGGGGTATCGAACCTGTAACATGAATCTATCATCGTGTGTACTCGACTGGGGCAGTCTAGACTGCGTGTATTTGAGCACATCTTTCCTCTCGAACTCTTCGATGATTTCCAGTTCAGCTGGGTTCGTGGTCTTGTGTCGTCTGAAGTGTGGCACTATCAGAGTCAGTTGCTCGTGGCCCAAATCACAGAAGTGGTCGTAGGCGATCTTTACTCCTGGCCATGAAAACTTCTCCTGACCATGTCTTAAAAATGAGAATGAGTCAAAGAGACGAAATCTAACTTAAATCAGAAAAACCACGACCAGTAAAACACATTATAACCATTAGCTTCTGCATTCTTCTTAAGAACAGATTCTGACAGGGTTGCATGATTAAAATCAATTTGAGTTAAATCAATGATTTAAATCGGACTTTAATCGTAGAATAAAAATCAAAAAAATCAACCCTAGTGTTATTCTGCCGAGTGCCGCGGTAAACATACAACACAGCTTGCAGTATTTACATTGGTTACGTACTTCGCTCTTCCATGGCATACTTTTAACTGGAAAAGTTTTTCAGCACTTTCGGATTTAATCATTCCAGTCTCAGAAATTGACTGGGAATAGAAAAATATGGGTAACTTGTGTTCTTCTTTCGGTTGCTGAATCAGTAAGTTTGCGTAAATTAATTGATTCTTGAAACAAAAACGTTTCCAATAAAAATCGAAAAAATCAAAGTAAAATAATAAAAATCGGATTTAAATCAATCGAGAATATACATCAGATATTTATGCAACCTTGGATTCTGACCATATTCTTGAACCGCCGCAAAGTTTTTGGATGGAAGGGTTTTTAAATTAACTCAGGCCAACTTTCAATTGTTCTAAAAATATGCAAATATGGGTACCAAAAAGAAAACAATACATTTCAATGACTTGATCTGCGAATGTCTTGCTAAAACAGCTTAAACATTTTATATATATTAAATACATACTGTTTCATAAATCCATACTTACACCATGGCAATGTTGCTGACGTCTAGAATCACATGTCTCAACCCTGGCACAAAGAATCGACTCTCTACTCCACAGCTCTTCAGAACGCCATTGTACATAGTGTGTCTTCGTGACGGAAGAAACTTGGCTATGTTCTCTGGCAAACTCGCCCAATCGTCACTACTGCAGTTACCCAGACCATGTTTGAAGTTGGGGTCATAATTATTTTTCTTCTCTTTTTCCATCAGAAGAAACTTGCATATCGCATGCTTGCACGCCTCGTAATCCTCCTTGCCTTCATCCGGTCTGTCTCGGTTTCCGGCCGAGCGGATGAACACTTTCATCTCACTTTCCAGAGTGATGTCCAGAGCATACCTCCAGATGAGTCCGTTCAGACAATAGCAGATGAGGGAGTCAGCAGGGAAGCCAAAAGTCCTCTCGTAGAACGGACCTTCATGGTAGTTGTTCCGCACAAATTTCTACAAAAAAAAATTAATATACAGTTTTACAAGAGGAAACAGTTAAAACATGCCAACAAAAAATAAGAACAATCCTACGAAGCTCATTTAGACTTAAAAACAAGATGATTGCTGAACAAAACGCTCGGAAAAACCCGACAACAGAGGTTCCGCTCACGATAAAAGCAATGGATGTCAAAAATTCTCAGGAAAGATTTTTTAAATTTGAACCTTAGCTTTGGCGAGGTTGGTACGTGCACTCTCTTCAGTCAGGATAATGTGGGACTGGATTGGGGTGATGGTGACTGTGAAGTACTCCCTCTCCTTCTGCTGCTTCCCAATATTACCACCACCACTAGTAGAAGAAGCACCATCCGACGAGGACACCAGTCCATCCTCCTCCAGGTCCGACGAGATACTGAATAATACAATCCAGTTGATCAGACAATAAGTACAATTTTTATTTCACTGAGAAATCTAAAATTAAACTCCATTTTCAAAACTAAAAGTTCATCACGTTTTTCGTGACAATTACAACTTTGCAGTTGAATAATGGAGTTTGTCTTCCTGTTCACAATGGAAATGAACTAAACTTAATAAAAAATCCGTAGTCAAATCGAAAAAAATATATATTTGGGCCTAACAAAAACTTCCTGAAAAAAAAACGAAATAAAATATAATAGTCTGATTTACGTTCATTGACTCTTAATAACTTGATTGATTGAGGAAATTATAATTTCACTTTCGCATGGTTTTAATGAATTGGAATATTCATTAAAACTATTGGAGCGGTTATGACCAATGAAAATTAAAATAGAAACTTTAAATGACTAGAGGAGTTTGAAATTTTTTTTCAGATGTTCTTTCTGGTGGAAACATGATTTGCCAACTTTTACCACAAACTAAACTTGCAAATAAATTGTAGACTAGATATCGTTTCCCTTGTTAAAAATGACATTTTTATTCCTGTTTACCTGCATGAGAAGATGAGCTTCAGTATAGATGAGACTCTCGCATGTGTACACAAGAAGTGCTTTCTGAACTGGTATTTAATATTGTACGTTTCCTTCAAATCCGCGATCACTTTGCTTCGCCATGCCCCTCCCCCTGTCGTTCCGGCACAAGACGACGCCCCCACCCCTGATTTGTTTGATTCCTTCACATCCGATGAGATGCAGTTTGGGTCCACACAACTGCCATCTAAATCAGAGCAATCCCATTGGTCCAGAGCCAAATGCTCATCATCCAATAAGGAAAGGGCAGCAGTTTCAGCATACGACTCCTTTTTAACAATTTCTCCGCTCACCCGCTCAGCTGATTCGAGATGCGGCTCCAACATAACATCCACTTAACGATAATACACGTTCACGGTTTTTAAAAAGACGGTTTTGTTTTGCTTGCATTCACTGAATTTGTTTTGCAACTCTAAAACTATTCGTGCGAAGCATATGATACATATTATCGGCAATGATTGCAACGATAGTTGTTTTTATCAAAAAAGTGAGAAGTATAGTCATTTAAGACGACACAAAATGCATTCAAAAGTAAGTAAGCAAATCGCAAAAGCTCACTTCAATCTTTTCTGCGGTATATAGACAGAAAGTGAAAATATATTTTCAAACAACTATGACTGCGTAGATGAAGTATAACTTAAACGCCTGACGTCACTGTTTGTTTATCAGCAAACTACCGAAATTTTTCGGCAATGATTTACAGCACTAACTTCAAATGGCATTACTATACAAGGCAACACATTGAATAACTTCCGAGAAAACATTTAAATACAATCTATACCAAAAAAAAAATAACAACAACTTGCGAATCAAATAACGGCAACTACGAATGATCAATGCTACTATGCTAGGTCTTAGTATGCGCCTCCCTTCCCTTCATTATACATTCACAAGAAACTACTGCCACAAAAATGCCACTAATTTCAGGACATACCCGGAAACGTATATTATTTATGATATGAGAAACAGGATATAATTAATTTAGACCGGCAAATAACAGCCTTGAAAAAATCCCAATAACAAAGATTGGCCCGGCAACGATCAAAAACCAGCTAATGATATAACGATATCGTCATTGACGCTGATGAACATCAGATTAGACCCAATTAGCATGAATCTGAAAGAAAGAACAGAAGAAGCGTTAAATATAACAACTATGTTAACAACTAAATTAACATAACTTTCGGCTAGTTACAACTCTTATTTTCGTTTGTTTACACTTAGGGGCACAATCTTTTACCATACCGACCACTGTGCCAAAAAATTTTAGAAACAAAGTGTTTAAGAGTACCGAAGATTTAAGAGTACCAAGGTTTTAAAAGGACTTAGGAAACAGTTGTAAAAAATACAGCTGCAAAAATGGTGAATTCCAATAGGTCTTAATATTCATAGCACCTAAAATAAAAAATCAGTCGATACAGTAGCTTCTTGAATTCTGATTGTTTGAAAATTGAGCCAATTCAGCCAACGAATTTATGGCTAGTTTGTTTATCGCTCAAGTTGCAGAATAGTGACCACCGCAGTCGCGCCAACGTGTTGCAATCTTGCCAACAAAGGGTAAGACTCTTTACAAAATTTAGAGCCGGTTATCGCCGCGAAGCGGGAACTCGCCCGTAACGCGCCCACAAGCGACCTTAAACCGAGATTCGGCTAAATTATTCTTTGACCAATTGAAAAGATTGGGGTTTTATGAGACTTCTTATTTATTTAGGGGACTGATTTTTCAATTTATAACCTATGAATACCCACCGTAAAAACTAAGTCGCAATGGCAAGAGAAAGCAAAAAAACTGCGTTACTTGCTACTGGAACCAATAAAATCAACAAACTGGGTCTAGAACATCAGGCCGAATTTTAAATGTTTCAAGTCAACCAAAATAGTTGCTGAAACTAGTATAATATTGTTTTTGAGATTATTACAAGAAAATTGCTTGATCAGAACAGTTTTTTCCAACTCTGATTCCCGATCGAGATTTTTTGGGTCGTTAAACCTATAGTTTTTCGAAGGCCATAAATTATAAACAAAACAATCCAAATGTAATGTGTAATTTTGAAACTTCATTTTCCTTTAAAAGAATGAAAAAGAACATATTAGCAGGAAAAATTAAAACCAGAGACGTTTACTAGACCTGATAAACAAATTTGATTGACAGATAGAATGTCGCTAATATGTCTGACAAAAGACAATTATTTCAAGGCTTCACCGCAAAGAAATTATTCCGAATCTTAACTAATTTTGACTTCTGTTAACTGAATTTTCGTATAGTAATCTGGTAAACGGTCCGGTGTGGTTAAAGTTCGGTTTGGTAAAAACGAGTTTAAAAACAGCTTTTTAGAGAAATTAATACAAAAAAAAACAAAAAAAAATCTTTAATTAGATCAAAAATTTAACTAAGCATAAATAAACTAATGTAAGAAGAAAAATCAAAATTTCAAACCGGTTTTTCTCGACACTGGGGATTTTTTTAGAACATTTTTAAAGTCGTTCAAATCACGCGTTTAAGGGCTTTAATTAATTAATTAACTAAGTAGATGTTTCACACCTCTAACTATTTTGACAGGACGAAAATCGCTCTAACAAAAATCTAATGAATTATGTAAGACAAAAAAGGCAAATTTCCTTTGCGTTCAGATACGGTGCCGGGAGTAAACTGGTTAGGGCCGTACAAGTAATAAAGAAATATTTAAGCCGACAACCTTTCAGCAGACACCAACTGAACCGAAAAAATATTTGAAATCTGAAAAAAAATTTTAAAAAATGAATTTTTTAAATCTTTTAAGTCCCACCTCAAACTTCAATGAACATAACTTGCACTTGTGCAACTACAATGAAATTTGCTTCCAGCAAAAATTGTGTCAACTAAGCCGACAAACTTTGAGCAGACACCACTTGAGCCGAAAAAATAATGATTTGGAAAAAATTATAAAGGCTTCAAGTCCCTTTGTAAAACTACAATGAGCAACACTTGCCTTTGCAACTTCATCAAAAGGTGCTTACAGCACAAACAAAATCACTGATGTGGCAACTAAGCCGAGGATCGTTGAGCAGACACCAGTTGAGCCGAAAAAAAAAGATTTTCTTCGGGAATATTTTCAAGTCAAAAGTTCAAGCCCCTTAAAACTTCAATGAACAACACTTGCACTTAGTGCAGGATTATGCCGACAATCTTGAAGGGATAAGAAAAGAAGTGCGAAATAAGCATAAGAACAAGAGAGTGAGAATAAGAAGAGAAGAATATTAAAGACGTGTAATAGAAGTTGTTTACGGGAAAACAGTCTAGTTTTCGCAAGTGTAAAAAACAAGGGTGATTGTCGTGAGGCGACCTTCGGTACCTCGTAAATTATTTGTTCCTATTAAGTATTTGTATGTCGTGAGGCGACCTTCGGTACCTCCTAAGTTATTTGTTCTTTTGCAGTCATACTGCAAAAGACACTAATTATATTAACCAAGGTCACTGCTAACCTCTTTTGTCAATACCACGCTGAGCGTGCTTTTTTCATTGCTATATCTGCTATCACTACTGTTTGTAAGAAAATCTGATTCGACATATTCTCATGATCTATCGGGACAAGATTCCTAAACCAAGTCTATATCAGAAACCAAGTATCAATCTAACTCAAATTAACAAAGCATCTAACCAGAAAACAATTTACTTATTGTTTATCAACCAAGTTTTCATTCTAAACTCCGGCGAATCTCATGGCGCAGCCAGCAGTTCCTGTGAACGAAGACAGGACTGACCTGTTAGGCATTCCTCCTTATTGGGCGAAAGCCTCAATTAACCCACCATTCCTGTGGGAATCTTGGATCGGTCAATTTTTTTTGGCCGCTGGTCTGAAGGATAATATCAATCCTCATGATCTGTTAATTGAACCCACCGAGGTCATCGATGAACCTCCTCCAAGACCGGAGTCAGTGGCAGAAGGCGAAGATGCTGGAGCAGCTAATGCCCGCAGACAGAGATCAAGCGGCGATCCGGAGAATCACCGAACTAAACGTGGAGAGGAGGAGAAAAGGCCCTCGGATTAGTCAGAATTGGTTCTATCACGAGGCCGAAGCTCGTATGAAGTCCCGTTTATTCTTTGCTCTGGGAAATGAAGGGAGGAGACGATTCGCTGACTCATTTCCCCACACGGACATTAGTAATATTCCTTTTCGAGAATTCCACACCGGATGTGAAACGCTGTTCAAGGTTGAGCGAGAGTTTACGGTGGAGCGAATCAAGCTGTATAACACGGTTTTCATGCTTGAAAATGACACTTTCTCGTCATTTTACGCCCGCTTGAGCGCCCAAGTGGCCTTGTGTAATTGGCCTAATGATCAGGAAAAGGGGACTTTAAAAGACCTCTTTATTGGGCGGATTCGAGATGTAGAGGTTCAACAACAACTCATCAAGGCGAAAGCTGATCTAGATGGTACTTTTAAGCTCGCACTCGAATGTGAGAAGGGAGCTAACACGTCGGCTCAGTTTCACAAACTCCTTCCTCATAATCAACATTCAACCGGCATTAAGGTTAAACAAGAACCTACTTGCTCTATTCAGTCGTCGAGAGGGAAGCGGAACTACCCTCAAAATCAAACTAATCGACAGTCGTCTCAAAATAATCAAACAACTAAACCATGCTACTTCTGTGGTAATCCCTATAGCCCGGAGCACCGAAAATCTTGTCCAGCTCGCGATGTAACATGTAATCTCTGTCGGAAACGAGGTCATTTTGCGAAATGTTGTAACTCGTCGAAACGACGTGTCAATCTGGTGCAGGAAGATGAGGACGTGGCATGTCCCTCTGTGGGTTGCAATTTCATAGATGTAGACCAGGATAGTGAGCCCGAATATGGGGTGTTACAGCTGGAATCTGCTGTCATGATTCATAGGGTAGAAACTCTTAAATCAAGTGGGGGAAAACCTCGGAGCCTCAGCATTCAGTTGCGCTCTGGCTCCAGTTTTTTCTATTCGACAGTAGACACAGGAAGCCCAGTTTCGTTTCTGAATAAACGCACCTGTGATTTACTCCTGCAAAGAAGTCCATCAATTGAGTTTCGCGATATCACACGTTACCCTATCGATACCTTGTACGTTGACTATAACAAGAAGCCCATTCGCCTCCTGGGGTCGATTCAAATCCCAATTTCTTCTAGTGGCTGGAGGGTGGTTAATGCTCAGTTCCTCATCTCGGAGAATAGAACTCGTAATCTTCTCGGTTTGGACTTGCAGGAGAAACTGGGCATTGTTACCACACAGTTGAAGGCAGAAATAATCCAGTCGGTAGATTCGGGTTCCTCAGACCCAATTTCTGAATACTGGTGTTCTTTTTTCGCTAAGAAGTACGCTCATGTCTTCAGTCGTTTGGGTCGATCTAAAAGTCATAAAGTATATACTAATTTTAAATTCCTATTAGTGCCACGTCAAATCAAAGGAATAAAAGTTCCTATTCATATTCAAGATAGGGTCGCGAATGAGATAAAACTTTTGGTGGAGCAAGGTCATATTGTAAAGTTAGACAAGTGCACGACTGATTTTTTCATTGCCCCGATCGTGCTAACTGCAAAAAAGGACGGATCTATCAAATTGGCCCTTAACGCTAAACCGATGAATGCTCAGATCTGGAAAAATAAGTACCAGATGCCGAATATCCACGAGCTTATTGATTCCGCGGCACATG